AAAAATGGCAAAATGGCAAATCTGGTTGTGATTCTGCACTTGCCGTACATAAATTTAGAAATCCCCCATGGTGTTGGCATTGCCGTTCAAAGGGTCGAGATTCCAACAATGAAAGATATCGGGTCTTCAAAAAAAAAAAAAAAACAATCAAAGATTGCTTTGGTTTTTTGAACGTACGTCGCATTATTGTTTCTTTATTGATCAGGATTTTTGATATGACATTTTGATATTAAAGTTCATTGACAAAATTAAAGAAAAATATAGCTAAGACATACGTTTAAAAAGCCATAGCAATCTTTGATTGTTTTTTTTTTTTGGAAGACCCGATATCATAAAGCTTCAAATAGAAATAAAGCTTTAAACAGAAATAAGGCTTTATTTGCTACTGCTTTGGGTATTTATTAACATGAACGGGGGCGATTGGGAGTACATTGACAGTGGCGCGTCATTCCACATGACTGTCAAAGAGGAGCTGTTGACTAGTTTATCCAGCGAAAATTCTGGACAAGAAATTATGGTAGCCAACAACTACAATCTATGTGTAACAAGATATCATCAATCAGTAAAAGTAGGTTCTTTTCAGTCTGACACAATCACTGTCAGGGATGTTTCAAGGTGCACAATTGTGCATATTAGGATGCACAATGATCTCAATATGCACCATATGCACAATCTTCAAAGAATATGCACAATTTTCACATCCAGCCAAAACAAAATTATTTTCCCTCAGCAAACCTTTGGCAACCTTGTCTTGCGCGTTGTAACTGGGAAAATAGAGCCAAATGAGCCACATAATGGCGGCTTACTACTTCCATTGTCATCACTGGTGGTGAAAAGAGCTTTGTTTCAACAGGCCATGAGAACCGTCCTAGAACAGTAATTTCCAGTGGATCAATTCATTTGTCAATTAAGATAAACGTTCAACTTATCGAAAAATAGATGGGCAACTGGAAGTTACTGTTCTCATGTCTGTTGGAACAGAGCTAAAGTTTATCACGACGCGAGTCACTGTAATTTTTATTTTATTTCGTCCCCATCTATAAATATCAATTTTTTGACAACTTGTAGGATATTCTTCCCGATGTTCTACCCCTACTTTCTGTAAACCCCAAAAGATGGCGCTATCAATTGCGTTATTTTTACGTCATTTACGTGTAACAAGAACTGGTAATAGTTCAGTTTTACTAATACAAAGTGGCGGTGAAAAAATGATTTCTGACGTTAAACTTGCGGAATCTTTCAGTGAACTTACTGTCAGTGAACTCTATTGACGGAGATACAACGCTATGATTTGCCTAAGACGTCACTTATATAAATTGATGACGTCTTACATACTCAGTATATCTATATATACAAAACTTAATATATGTATAACTTCCGGAATAATCGTACTAGGACAAAAAAAAAACACGCATCTTTTTTTTTCGATTTCCTACAGTTTGCAATACACAATAATCAATTTAATTTTTCATTCAAAGTACCCTATTGCAAAATTATGGAACAGGGTATATAGTATTTTTAATACACATTTAGAATAACCCCATCCCTATTTATCAATCACAAATCAGATGAAACAAAAAATTACCAACAAAAACGAACTTCGATTACTAAGACGTCAATTTCATGTATGTACAGATAGGAAATTCCTAACCTAATTTCATTTGTGTGTTCAAGAAGAGACATACGGTTAGTCACTAGAACGACTTCTAAATAGGTATTAAAAATTCTATATGTCAGAATAGGGGAGAACCTTTGGCAAAGGCAGAAAATGTGGATGGTCTGAATAAATTGGATGTACTCACAGAAAAGGTCAGCATTGCGAAAATATCAAGTTCATAGATGCTCTGGCACAAACAATTGAGTCACCTGAACCACTATAGTATGAATCTGCTAAAAAACGGACTTGCAACTGGTATTTCATACAAAGTAATGTAAATACAGAATATTGTGAGAGCTGTATTAGGGGAAAACAAGCAAGGAAGCAATTTCCTTACAATCCTAGCAAAAAAGTAGCAAAAGGTAAGCTTGACTTGATACATTCTGATATTTTAGGACCATTAGAAGTTGAATCTTGGAGTGGATCAAAATATATATTTACATTGATTGATGATCATAGCAGAAAAATATTTTGTTATTTCTTGAAATCCAAAGACGAGGTACCTGAGTTTTTTAAAGAGTTTTTCAAATTTGTAGACACTCAGACTGAGAGGAAAATCAAAGTTTCAAGAACTGATAACGGGGATGAGTATTGCAATGATCGTTTGAATAAATCTCTGAAAGATAAGGGAATAAAACATGAATTCTCTTCTCACCAAAATGGTGTGGCTGCAAGGTACAACCGTTCCATTATGGAGAAATTTTCATCAATGCTGGTAGACTCTAAATCACCAAAACTCTAAAACACCAACACTGCTGTTTATCTTTTAAACCGTTCTCCAACCAAAACATTACGTTGTGTTATACCAGAGGAGAACTGGACGGGATGTAAAGTGGATTCGGGTCATCTAAGAGTGTTTGGATGTAGAGCTTATGTGCTTATTTCTGATGCTGAAAGAAAAAAGCTTGATGAGAAGAGCGAAGCGTATTTGCTTGTAGGATATTTTGATACCTACTACGTTTGAGTATATGTTACTGGACCCCAATAATCATAGTCTGAAGATTGCTCGTGATGTAGTCTTTCTAGAAGATAAGTTGGATTTCACAAAAAATTATGCTGAATTGCAAGCTGTTGTTCCAATGGAGGTAGAAAATGATTCCAAACAATGCTGTTTCAATTTCTTTCGAGACTTCTCCAGATTCTCAATGTCATGTAGAAGAAGAAAGTGATGCTGAGGACGTTCGTAGTGTCAGTAGTATTGTAGTAGTCGAGAGTGTTTGTGGAAATTAAAGCGCTAAAGACAGAATATATCCTAAGAGAGATCCATGTAAACCAGAAAGGTACAATGAATATGTAACATGTGATGATTTTGACAATGAACCAGATTGTGCTATGCTTGCTATATCGCATGATCTAGAACCAATTACTGTTTCTGAAGCATTATTAAGTGTCCGAAAACTGGAATGGAAATCAGCCATTAAAAATGAGCTAAATGCGCTCAAGAAAAATATTGCTTGGGAATTAGTTGACAAACCCAGTAAATAAAACATTCTTAAAAATAAATGGGCATTTAAAATTAAAAGGGACCAAAATGGAGATATAGCAACATACAAAGCAAGACTGGTTGCGAAAAGATTTACTCAAAAAATTGGAGTACCTAAAATATTCAGAAACGTACCCTCCAGTTATTCATTACAGTTATAAAACTTTTGTGACTGCTGCCCACGGTGCCTACATTTAGATGTGGAAACTGCTTTTATGAATGGTGACATAGATGCAGGGCCGTTCTTAGGCGAGTGCAGGTTGTGCAGGCACAAAGGCGGCTAAACTTAAGGGGCGGCCGCAGGCCGCAGTCAAAAACAGTAAAATAATTTTTTTATGGAAAATTAAATTCCATACATTTCACAGAAACTAGTTCTATAGAAAGAATATTTGGAATACGCAAAATGAAGCTATATACTTGCAATTTTCTCTGAATTTCAAATTTTGCGAATTCGCTTTTCTTCACAGTGGACTAACCAAGTGACTCGTATTTACATATTATTACATATCTTACATATGTAGTATATGTATATGAACTGCCTCAGTATGGTGGTATGGTTTATGTTTTTTGGTATTTTGTTTGTTTTGATTATATATTTTTTAGGTTATCCGTGTTTTACGGCATATCCCATACACATATTTTTTTTTCCAGGCCTAAAACGAGGCTAAAATAAACGTTTTTGGGCGTGGCATCCAGAAAAATGTTTGCCTCCGGCGGGCTTTTCATCTAAAATATTTTCCAGGTTTGAGGCGTTCAGTTCTTACATCATTGGACCTACGTAGGCGATTTCAGAGTAGGCAGCCCTAATTTAAATAAAATAATATTTGCTAATAGGGCCAATAGGGGCGGCTTTTTCATGCCTGCACAAAGGCGGCAGAAGGGCTAGGACCGGCACTGCATAGATGAGGTTTCAAATAAAAACCAAAATTAATAACCACAACCAGAATAAAGTTTCAAAAGTTCAATGAATGCTCTATAGGGTGTCAGTGTGAATACCATGAACAGAACTTTCTCAGCTGTGATAATTAGTTAAGTATGATGGTAGGTAATTGAGCTGCCATGAACCTGATGGATCTAGGATCCCAAAACGCAAGGGGTAAAGGATAAAGCCTTAGACAGATTTTTTGGAGGCTCAAAAGATATGCTCCTTCTAACAGTAGTAGTAAAAGTTTCTAGGTACTCTTGGTATACAAGGCCTGGAAGAACGAAAATGGTATTTAGTCTCAAACTCAAACCGAAAAAACTGTGGTATGTATTTTTCTTAGCATATTGTCGAGAATATTTTTAAATGAAATTCTTCCGGAAAAATATACAAAGGAAAATGCAAGGAAAACTTACCTTATAAATATAATGTGGATTAGTCTCTTCACGCAACGTACGACAAGAATATGACAGACATTTCCTAATCCTCTAAGAACGATATCGCATATGAACATTTGCCGAAATAATGCACTATTCGATGAGCAACAGCGAATTACTCACGTCGCAGAATATGTAATTTGGCTTGCAACACCCAAAAATGACTTATTTAAAGCAAACGGGAACTATTTATTCCAGCTAATGGCTCAATCTGCATGTGTATTGAAATCTATAGGCAAATCATTGAATATTTATTTTTATTGATAAACCATTAAAACATAATCATTAGTTAAATTAAAGATACCCAAGGTCGACTTGTCATCTAGGAAAAGAAAATACCGACAATAAAGGCTATAGACTACCTACTTAATTATAGAAAATTCCAATTTAACTGAATTAAGCATGAAATGTTATTATGGAGTTGAAAAAATAATAAATTTTTTGTACATTAACATGTTTGTTATGGTAAATTCTAAATACTTAAATTAGGGTCGATTTTACCTTATTATCACTTGCACAAGATACGTCCATAGACATATGACTTACTATGAAGGCGCATAGCTAAAAAAACAAAAAAGAAAATTTAAATTTTGTAGACGACATTTGAAGCTATTGTAAAGTTGAGCCAAAACTGGAGATAATGAAGTTACTTTACAACTTGGGCTTTCATAAAATGAAAGGCTCACAAAATTATAATTACAGTATTTATAGCGTGAATAAAAATAAAGAAAAAAATAATAATTTTTTGCAGCACATACCAAGATATTGAAAGGACTGTATGAAAACATACCATAAACTTGAAATCGTGAACTAGATGACACAACAAACTTTAACAAATTGAAGGTATAGTGATTGTTAGATTGCATCTCGGACTATATGCAACGATTTACAGGGTAGGGTATTCTTCACCGATACATTCTATTTAACCAAATAAAGATTCATTAGGCGGCATGTCGAGCAAATATCGTATACATACCAAATAGGGTAAATATAGAACACATTTCAACACGTGATGCGAAATCAACCTTGAATGGAAATTTGGTGATTGTTACCAAAAAAAAAAATGCAAATAACTTGCACAAATGCGAATTACTTAATTTAAGTTTAGGAAATTGTAACATCATTTAAAGCAGAATATTTAACAAATTATTATAAAATTATTATACTTAAACCACTTATTAATGGCATACGCGGACTACTCATGGATTTACATATCCTGTAATTTAACTCACAATATAATTACCTACTATTAATCATTCATTTTAGGTGATTCATGGCCTTAACAAACTTATTATTTGTTTTTGTCAGATCATCAGACCATAACTGGCCTAATCTGTTAAGAGACGTCTATTTAGCGTCTATTATCCTCTTAACTGACTGGAAATGAGAAACACAATAAACAATTAACATATTTTGGTTTGCCATTAGTTACAACCTTGGTAAAAAAAACAATAGTTTGATAGGCAACTATCACTCCGGTGATATAGTTAATATGCATAGTGGATTAATTAATTTTTTATTTTATTTTTAATAATATATTAAGTAGATATAGCTATTTAGTAAGTCTGCCTAAAAAAATGTTTTCCAAAATAAGTAGTAAAAACGAAAGCTGTGATTTTTTTTCTTCATATTATCGTCTTAAGTTAAAACGATATTCTAAGAAGGCAACTCCAAAAATTATAGTCTTCGAGAAAAAAGAATTACATTTTGTTTCTTAAAAGTTTGTCTTTGCTCACAGAAATTCTAAATTTCAGTTGAAGCCACGTTGCAAGTTCCTAAAAATAAGAAATGGTCCTAAATGTCTATTCATTAAAAAAAAAAATATATATATATATTCTAGACCATCGAGCTTTAAACTGCTAGAGGTATCAACAAGCATATTTGTTTTGTTCCATAATGAGGTAGCGGGGTCAGAGGGGTGATTCATCCGATAAACAAAACGAAAAAAGGCCCTGTTGCCGAATTTTTTCCTGTTCGAATAATAATCTCGATAATAATGAATATCGTCATCTATCGAAAAGTATCTATTTCAAATTTGTCTGCTTATAATAATATTAAAAATATACTTGCGACTTTTTAAGTCTATACTTAAAATAATTCTAAAACAACAATACCTTTTATCACGACTCAATTTGGTTTTAAATGGAACTACGTACCTACTTCTAAAGAAAGATTTTACAGTCTGGCAATAACGTAGTAATTGTTTTGTGTTCTCATGGTGTTCTCAACTTTCTTGTGACCAATCAGCTGACTGCGTTCGAGAACCTGGTGTGTTGTATAAAAATCACACAGCTGCCGTTCGGAAAGGCGAAGTGTGGATTAAAATCATATGGTTTTCGGCGTTCGGAAGTGTGTTTGACACGTATTGATGTGCGCAACGAATACTCTAGAGTGAAATTTAAGCTCACATTTTGAAGATGCACTCCCTGAAATAATTTCCACACCAACAACCAGGTTTTCGAACGCAGCTCTCTGATACCCAAAACATAAATAGGCTGGTTTATAAACATTCTATTTTCATAAGTGCGAGAAAGAGGGCCTGGTCTCATTCTGGAACCGAACAAATTCTATAGCACATTATTATCGTTATTAGTCTAGAGAGAGAGAGTGTGTTCAATGGTCGAAGTTCTAGACAAACATTTGTGTTAAAGTAGTCGTGAACTAGGTATTAATAGGATAATCTAAGTGAAGACTGTTCTATTTGATCTATTAAAACACATTGACTGCCACGTCATACATATATGAATGACACGGCCAGTTCCGTTCTGCCCGCGTCATTCATATTTGTACCTATGACGGTTCAGTTTCAGTTCTAGGCCATATCATGCATTCATGTATGATATGGGATATATTTGCGTGGCACCTGGGGATTCTCAAGTTAAACTTGGACAGAGAAAATATTTTGTTGGGTTATTGTCCAAGACCAATAAAACCAAAAATTTACTTAATATAAAGTTCATTCATAGTAGAGGCTTAAAAATTCAGAGAAGGACTGCAAAAATATGAATTTCAACTAATGACATTTATTATTGTCTGGTTGTCATATGAGTCAATAAGTTTAATGTCGTATTTCCTTTATTATTTAAATAGTGTTTGGTGAATTATTGTTAATTAGTGAGCAATTTAGATTAAAACAGTATCAAGTTCAACAAATTCCGCTGAAGAATTCGTTCGGAAATATATTCAGCGAAGAGAAATACAAAACAACCTAGGACGGTCCTGCCTTGGGCGGAGTATAATCCTTTTCTAGCCAATAAAATTCGACTTACCTGTCAAAGTTTGTTTACTGTCACTATCCCGTTTGGTGAAATGAACTTTAAAATCTGTTTTTTTTTAAAGATAAAAGTCAAAATGACATTATGTTGGCAATATAATGTAAAAGTGTCAATGCTTTCAAATTTTTTATGTAGAAAAGGCTTGTGTTGCCAACATAGTTACTAAATATTTGACTTGGGGAATTATCTTTAAAAAAAAAACGAACTTTAGGTATAATTTAGGTAAAAAACTGTCAAACACAAAAAAAAAACTAATTCTTTCTGATACAGGTATATGGTGAAATATGAACTTATAATTTAGAAAAGGAACATAGCATCATTCCAAAATAAAAAAACAGAATTCTAACTTAAAAAAAAAAACAAATCTCAAATTCTGGAAAACATAAGATAACATATTTTATTTATTTATGCTGCGCATTGAAACACTGCATGCAGATCTGAGGCTGTGAAGGGCATAATTCGCAGAAGGTGTACACCATTTTTGCTTTTATTCGAGCCGCCTCACGATCAGATTCTTTCTTTATTCTCGAGTAACATGAAACGCATTTTCTTCCCAGCTTTTTCCCATTCTGGTCTTTTCTTTCCAAAATGTGATGATGACCAGATTTAGAGGTTCCTACTGTTTCTTTTGGTACCTGTTCTAGTTGCAAAAGTTCATTTACTAAAATTTCCCAAAAATATTTATATGGATAATTTTATTTTGGTTGCAGATTTGTACACAACCCAAGCGTTAACAACAGCCATGCCCAATAAAAGCTCAAGTCCTAGCTTCCTATACCACTTTATCGCTTTGCGCAAAGTGGTCACATACGATCCCATTTGGTCGGATAAATCTATCTCCGCCTTTCCCTTGTTATATTCCAAAACTGCTATTGGTTTTTGTGTTGCTTTTTTAGATTTCCGCTTCTTCACTTTCACTTGCGGCATATTGGTTTCTGTGTCTGATGTTTGACTCTGTGCAGTAGATTCCTCTGGCTCGACTACAAATTGCCCTGCATTGCTGGTGGAGGGTTGTGGATCGATGTTGGCTGGTACTGCGTCAGATGCTCGAACTACATTGCTTGTGGAGGCTTCTGTTTCGTTGTCTGCTAACGGCTGCTGTTGTGCTGTAGATGATTTTTTTGCTGGGAATGGTGCTAATACAGGAGCATGTTTGGTGGATAGGAGCCTCACATATCTGATATCTTTCCATTTCAACAAAACTATGCCATTCTCATCCTCTCTAGATATCATCTCGCCTCTTTTCAGATTTTTTGTAATAACTTCTTTTGGCAACTCTTTTTTATTCGCCCTGAGTGTTCCGACAATATGTGTTTGTCTAGCCAACAGAGTTCTTACCAACCCGTAGCTGGTATAGAAGTTGTAATAATGTTCTTCCCGGGTCTAGAACATCACGAAGAAGATCCAAGCATACATTTTGAGCAAGTCAAACTTCTCTTTTCCCCGTGGCTGATTTTCCACATAAAATTTTCACTGTCCATGTGTATCCTTCAATTGAGCATAAGTTGAAAAGTTTTATGCCATATTGGTGAGCCTTATTTGGAATGTATTGACGAAAGATTAGACGTCTTCTCCAAGGCACCAACGTTTCGTCGATGGCTACGGTTGCTCCTGGAGAGAATAATTTTTGGAACTTTTGCTACAAAATATTCAAAAGGGGTTCCAGTTTTGCTATGCGATTGCCCTTTTCAATAGTTTCATTGTTGTTGAAGTGAATCATTGCCAGGAGTAATTGGTAACGGTTACGGGATAAAAATTTTCGAGGTACATGCAATTGGTAGATTTCACGTGTCGACCAATAGTTAGTTAGAGTACTGAGTCTTACTAAACCCATCCATAAAGTTGGGCCCAGAAATTTCTTGATTTCTTCGCTGCTTGTTGGAGTCCATTCATTAATTCGTGCACTTTCCATTTTCTGTTCAGTTTAGAGCTGTTGTTGTGCGAATCTATTAGTTTCCTCAACTATAAGGGTGATTACTTCGTCGTCGACAAGCAATGAGAAAACCTCAAGAGGAGTAGCATCTCTTGGAATTTGAATTTGTAAGCCCTCTGGTCCTGTAAACAAAAACTCTTTGTGTCTCCCTATGTACTCGGTCCATTCTCCTATTTCTTCTTCCCTTACGGTCAATGTTTGCCGGCAAATTCATTCTCCTAGTTCTTCTTCTAATTCTTCTCTTTCCAGGTCATGGAGCATATAATATGTCAATACTTCCTCGTCGTTTTCTGACTCGGACGAAGTATCTGCATCATCTAGAGCTTCCTGTTGCTTTCGAAAAATTGGGTTATATGACTTTTTCAACCCAGGCTGCCATACCGGGTCCTCTAACGAATCATCTTACCTAAAGTCTTCTGTCGAATCATCATCCACATAAACCTCCTCGGCGATGTTTTCTAGTTCGGTTTGTGTCAAAAAAATTCTCTTCCGTTTACTCATTATTTTATTCTCCTCAGAGCGGTCCTGTAACAAAAAAAAAATAAAATTTAATCGTCATCCATATATATGTATATGAATGACGTGGCCGGTGCGATAAAATTTCGTCAAAGTTTTCCAGGGGGCCGCGTCATTCATATTGTAACAACCCATATAAGTTTCGTCCTGGGACGCCACAACAGGAGTGTGACTTGGGGGCGTAGGTGGGGTTCAGGTAGAGAGAAACTCGCTTGGTATTGGTATAATAAGATGTGTATTGATTAATAATAGTATTACCCTAGAAATGGTATCATGACGTTTCTTCTACGGAGGGACGTACTACTTATGGGCCACTCTGTATTAATTATGTACCCTCTGTACACTTGGCGTGACTGAAGACTGAAACAAGGTTTGAGACAGGCCCAGAAGGGGGTTTCCCATTAAAGGTAGTTTGCACTGGACCTAGTCTGCGGCGTTCAATACTCCCAGAGGGGCGTTTCCCACTAAA